AAGATGAGAAATATTGACATCTTAAAAGATCTTAACATCAAGGAAGATTGGCCAATAAACAGCATCCTTTCTCGAAAGCTGAAATATTTTGGTCATATCAAGCGCCACGACGGATTGGAAAAAATTATAGCAGAAGGCATGGTACCAGGAAGGAGGGGCAGAGGCCGACCGACACGAAGATGGGCACAGGATATAAGTGACTCCTTGAGTATGAAAGTTCATGAGGCGGGAGAACTGGCAAGAGACCGAGTTTCTTACAGGCAGACTGTGATGAGAGCGACGTTCTGCAAAGGACCTGCTACATGATGATGATGACTGTAATGTACACTGTTGTCAGCACTGGCATTTTTTGGGGACACTTTTTGGCCAATACGGGAACATTTTTCTTGGAAAAAATAGCCCTGGTTATGCGTATAATAAAACTTGCCGCTGAGTTTGTGACGAGCTTGAGCAACACAACCAGCAGTGGCGGTTGGAGGGGAAGGGATCCCTATTTAAAAGACATATAGATATCTAGTTTTGGCGGAGTAGACCTCGATGCTAAGGTCGATTAGAACAAGTCTGAGTCTAACCTATGACCTCAATCTGTCAGGCCAGCATCTACAACATGTCTAAAAAAGGTGCCGGTACTCACCACAGGATCTAAAAGGTTGTCGGAGTCACCTCAAAAATGTCTGTTCCAGTAGCGTTAGAAAGGGGGGGGGGGGGGGAATGCACAAAATGGTGCCGTACCACCGGAAAAAAAGTGTTGTAATATTCTGTTCACCCATTTAGGTTCAGGTAAAGGACGCCGATACCCGGCCTCTCCCTCCCCAAAAATATTGTTTTGGTGGTGGACTGTGATGTTTAATGAGTTTAAGCAGTCCATTTTGGCAAAGTATATATATATATATATATATATATATATATATATATATATATATATATATATATATATATATATATATATATATATATATATATATTTTTGTAAGTAAAATATATAGTTTTTTTTTATTTTAGATAATTTCAAATGTGTTGTAATAAGTAGGGGGAGGCTATGGAGAATGTTGTAACTACTGGGAAGATCAGCGGTAGAAGAGGAGGAGGCAGACCAAGAGAGATTATGACGGATTGACTGCGACGGTGGCATGGAGGGATATTATCAATGGAATTGATCCAAAAAACTGTGGAGATGCATGAACGCCAAACCTAGTCGGCAGGGTACGTGATGAAGATTTACAATTTAGCACATTACTATTGCTATTAAGATAAAACTAGGATTAGGCCCCTTGAGAACCCCTTTTGTCTGAAACAAAAAAATCCATGGCTGGGGAGGGAATTGGCCCCCCCCCCCCCCCCCCCCCCCCCCCGATTTGCTCAATGTGCATTTCCTAAATTTTTTTTTTCGTTTTCTTCCGTGGCCATTTTTTGTTTTTCTGAGTAGCAGGGGGACATAATTCTACAAAATTTGCATGGCGCCAGACTCGGAGGTAAGCTGTAGTGTTGTAGTGTACACTTAACAACAGCACAGTTGGTGAACTGTTTTGCTTTGTAAGAACGCAGAAGTGAGAAAGTTATTAAAGGAACAGTTACAGTAGTCAATGATGTGTGAAAAGATTGATAGAAGCGTATGGAATGGGGTGCCTCGAAAATTGTCCTGTTTTGTTTATATATAATGTTTCAATTGTTTCATCTTATCAGCTGTGATCTGACACTCAAGTTCAAGTAGTTACTTTAGTCAAATTTTTAAAATGCCCTCTACAATAATAAAACCAGCACAGTTAGATAGCTGTAAACAATCTCTTTCCAATGGTACCTCATTTAGGCTTGTATGTCATTTCTGAGCTGTAGGTTTTTGTGGAGATGAGATGTAAAAAACAGCTACTAGCTACTAAAACTTGTCTCCCAGAAACAAGAAGTTTTCTCTGCGCAACCAAACTGCGCAACTTTCGTTTTGGCTTTGTTTACATTGGACTGTCATTGGACAAGATGGCAGCCAATGATGAATGAGACACAGCCACATAATAGCGATTGCCTGAAAAAATGTCACTGTAAATCTAAACAGCCACGGACAAGAAAGAAATTTAGGCTCTTCTTTGAATCGTTCCCCAAAATGGCGGCTTTAATATGATGGCGTTCGAAAGAGAGCTAAATTAGCCAATTTTTGGCCATAAAATATCCAAAAATATCAGAGTGCGGGTCAGTTCTATTAAAAATATATGTGCCGGCTCCGGATAACGAAACAAATGCTCTGACAGGGTCTCGGCGATATGTTGCTTGCCGACCTGCTTCTGCGAGCGTGCCTCACCGCCGATCGTATCCCCCGATGGGGGCTAAACTAGATGGCTGGGACTCACGAGCGGCAGCTACCGCATCTCCTGCAACTTCCTCCAGTTACTGTACTCGTGAGTCCCAGGCACCTAGTTTAGCCCCCATCGGGGGATACGATCGGCGATGAGTTTAATCGCGTTTGGCGCATGCCAACAAGTCTGACATCTACCGCTGCTAAATCCTCCAATCGGAAGAACACAGTATTGCTAATCGGCTTTCATCGTCTGTAATGTCTCGAAATTGGTCAACGGTTGCTAATATCGTCTGCAGAAACGCTCAAAATTGTTGTCAACGGTCGGTATTTATCATCTGCTACTAGTACCATGTGCAAATGTTGATATTGATTGTCAAGTAATCCTAGTTTTGCCGCGATTTGTTCCTTGGCAGACAGTCCGTATTTTAGATATACGCGAACACCGTCCTTCGGATATTTTTGGATATTTTATGGCCAGAATGTGGCATGCCGCCATTTTGGGGAATGAATCAAAGGAGCGCCGAAATTTTATACGCAAATGTAAAATTGGACGGAGAATTCAATTATAACTAGTATTACCATGTCTGGTAATGTTTAAGGCCAAAGCCAACCTTGAAAACTTTACCGCTATTTTTAATCAAACTGATGTAACAGAAAAACAGAGGACGTCCGGCTGTCGTAGACATGCGCAGTTAATCGGGTTCCTTCCCGCTGTTTTCAGCTATTTAGAGTGGGTGAAAATCACATCAATCGCAAAATTTCATGAGAGATTAGGACCCATCCCGAAACCCCAGCCGACATTTCCGAAGCAAGTTTTGAACGGTTCCGTGGTAACGGAAATTGCCAAAAGATCGCAAATTTCCAGACACCGTAGTCGCTAACTCAAGTCAAGTCACTGCACACTGTACTGTTAAATATTTCAACAATATCCCATACTTTTGTTCAGTTAAATTCAGAGATCTTGAGTGAATGCATTTTAATATTGTGGACTGTTGTGTCCATCCACTCGGTCCGACTTCACGTTACTGTGTTGTATAATTGTCAGTGATCACCACAGTATAACACTATAACTGTTTTCCATATGGTTGACGAACTAACGGTAGTTTCCCAAATTTCCCAAAATTTTGGGGCAGCGTAAGAGAGAAACAGCGAGAGAGTGAGAAAGAGAGAGAGAGAGAGAGAGAGAGAGAGAGAGAGAGAGAGAATATTACAATGCTGGACAGTTTTGACATTATGTGAGCCATGGCATGTGGAAGATCCTGCGTCAAGAGTTGAGTGATGAGACAGAAAGTTATGGAGAAAGCCATGACTACTAACAACACCAATGGAAATGGACTATCACTATATTTATAGACCTTCAGGAGAAGAAACCTTCTCACCCATGAGGTAATAGCAGTCACTATGATGACTGTCAATCCTGCAGACTGCAGACCTGAAAAGAACAAAGTAACAAACTACCCACCAGCCCTCTTGTTGTATTCTGAGAAATGCCTGGCAAGCACACAAGTAAAAATAAAACTATACTAAAAGACACAAGGCAGAAAGTGTTCTAGGGAGATAGCCAAGATTGAGGCCTAGTGTATCTAAGATTAAGGACCTTTATGTGAGGTTACTTTAAAAAGTTCCAGGAATAGTCATGTTTGATTGAGTCATTATCACAAGAAGATTATAGTTTTATAAGTTGATACTAACCTTGACAGAACAGCACGACAGACAGTTTGTTTGTGTTTTATGCACACAGCATTGTCAGAATTTAAAATGTCCTTAGTTAAGCAACACAGTAATGTAAATTTTTGTATTTTTCTTTAGAAGTCACACTCAGAGACAGCAAGTTTGCTTAATAAAGCCTATGGTGTTACCACAATGAAGAAATCATAAGTTTTTGTGTGGCATGAGAATTTCCTCGAAGGCTGTTGATGATAAATGTAGAGGGCAATTGCCTACTGCAATAAACATTACAAATATTGAGCATGTTTAAAATATTGTTTGTGCTGACGGAAGTCTTAATGTAGAAGAGATAGCATCAGAAGTTGGAATATCAGTCTGGAATTGCCACAGTATATTCTCCTCACTTAACTGCACATGCACTGTATATTTCTCAACACATGGTTCCCAAAATGTTATGCCGGAACAGAAAGACACCAGAACGACACTGGCAGGCGACCTAATAACTAAGTCTAATCAAGATAACATTTGTCTCATTCACATAATCACATGACGTGCTATTTCTTGTATGATCCTCTGAAAAAACCTCAATCCGCTGAATGGGAATCACACTTATCTCCCCGGACACAGAAACTTCATTCACGTGGCAAGACAAGATCACAGACACCGAGGTATTGGAAGAGCAGGTACCACAACAGTTTGCTCATTGTTCAGTCTTTGAAGGCTCACATGACTAGGCCACAGCATGATACTTTCATTGCGGGAAAACTCTTCTTAACAAAAGGTGACTAATGAGAAGTTTGTTGAACTCAAACATGTTGGGCCAAAAATACAGATGTCACAGCCTAGTTGTAAACCACAACACAACATGCCAACTGCATTTTTAAGGGGAACACAGAAAAGGAGAATAAGACTATCCTTTTTGACCTCAGATGTTTCCACAACATTATCCATTAACTTTGGCCAACACTTATAATGTCATTATAAATTTTTTTTTTCAGACTAGTCGATTTTACAGATAACATGGTGATCTGATTGCCAGGCAAACATGACTTTTTTAGCCTCATCAGGCGCAGAAGCTAAAATATGGGATGTGCCAACATTTTCTTTACTGGAACAGTTCAACCCATTTACTAGTTCAATTAGTGACTTAACTTGGAGCCATGACGGTAAGCACACTCAGATTTTTCTGTTTTCATTTTGTTGAAATCTGTTATTTGTGTGACAGGATACTTGAGATGCCTCACATGCCATAACAAAAAGAACTGTGTAAGATTTTAAATACCAAAAGTAAGTCAGAGATAGCAAAATACAAGAGATTAGTGGGGAGGACCATTTATAACAGCACACAGATCACTAACTGCTTGTATTTCATCAGTGGTTCCATAAGCCTGAAATGACTGATCACACTGGCTGTGTGGATTAACCAAATGCATTGTGCCCTTCATGAAATGCTCATGCCTGGCTGGCAATTGCAGACTGCACTACCATACCCAATAATTTGCAGAGTGATAAAGAGTCGTGCCAGTTGTCTTAATCATCTTTGCAGTATGCATTTTGCATGGCATTGATGGCATAGCTTCTGTTCATTGTTGGACCAGTCATAGTAACTGCAGTGTCAGCCAGATAATGTGCATGATCATTGCTTCAAACACCTGTACAATCTGGGAGAAAGCAAAGATAACATTAATATAGGATCAGGAAACAGGAGGTACAGTGAGGACTCACAACAGAGACTGCTGGAGAAACATTCATCATCTTCATCAGCTTTCACTGTTGTCATTATTAACATCATTGTCAACTTAAACTTTTTTTTATTAAGTGTGATGGGGAGGAACAAATTGCAGCATCAATCGATTAGCCAGTCAGTCAGTTTGTCCTTTACAGAACGCCGCTTTCTTCATGGCATGCCGAAAATCTATTTCTAAAGTCAGTTCTCTGGCCTTGTATGCTTTTATAAGCAATGCTTCTTCAATGTCCTGTATCCACATTTGTGACGGTCAGTCTCTGCTGTTTTCCAGTTACCAAGCATGCTATGGAAGGTGAATCATTCAGTAAAGTAAAGGTTTCTAATCCACGCTTTCAGGCGTATTGGGCATAAAGGGTTAGACCTACATTCTATAGACCAGTCGGCACTCGGGGAGGGAGGGGTGATGTAGTCAAGGTTACGTCAACCGCCTTTACTTCCCAGGACTATACCTGGTACCCACTCAGGGACCTAAAACCATGACCTTCTGATCTGCAGGCCAGTCTAGCCGCTACGCAACATCAGTTCCTTTGGCTTATTAAGTTTTTCTGAAATCAGCAGTGCTGGGCCAAAAAGTCCCAATATCGCAGCCTAGCCGTAAACCACAACATAATTATTACTTTGAAGGGCAAATGAAGAAGCCTGGCATTGCTTTCCTGTTGTATATTTGAATAGAGAAAAAACATTTTTGTGGACTGACAAAATCTCATCAGCATTGAAATCAGTATGTGATTCAACCATAGCTCAGCTTTGAACCCACCCATGGACTTATTTTAGAGGATGCGTACAACAGAGTACCATTTGAATACTTGGTGCACATACTCCTCCAACTGCAAATATCTCCCTTCGTCACCCGCTGGGTAGCCGCAGCACTGTTTCAGAGACGGGTGATACTCAGGTGTGGTTGTTGGTCCTCAGAACCGATAACCACTAGCCCAGGATTGCCTCAAGGTTCTCCGCTGTCTCCAGTGCTTTTCAACGTGTACACAGTGCTGATAACTGAGCAGCAGTTGCATGGGAGTGGCAGGACCTTGTCATTTGCTGATGACCTCTTAGTATATCGACATGGAAGAGATCGTCAAGAGATTGCCAAGTCAATGCAGAGTGAACTAAATCGCATCTCCTCCTGGTATGCAGATTCTAATGCTCATGTCAACCCTGCGAAGGCCTTAGTAATGTGGTTCTCCTTGAACACGCATATAGTAAAGGCAGACTTACCATCAATGGAAAGTAGCGAGGAAATTTTTACGAGAAAAAATCTGATGACATTCCTTGGAGTGAAGTTTGATCACAGCCTTTCAAAGAACATGTTGACCATGTCATAACAAAGGCACGCAAAGGCCTGTCAGCAATGAGGGTCCTGGCTGCCGCTAACACTGAGTAGAGACTGCTTCTGCTTCTGTTCCAGGGACTTGTACTTTCTCTCATCGAATATGCTCTTGCCATCCTCACTGTCAGCCATACTCAGATGGAAAGACTTGAGAAGGTGCAAAATGAAGCAATGCGCATTATTCTAGGGTGCACTGGAGACACCTCTTGTGTAGCAGTGAGGTACCTTCTTGACTTCCCTACCATGAACTACAGGATCAAGATCTAGAGGGCTTGTGCATACCTCAAAATAAGTTAAGATCTGAAGCACCCTTTGCACCACATGCTTTTCAAGAAAAAGGGCAATAGGCTTAAAAGACGCAAATCATGGCTAGGTAGGGCAGAGGATGACATCATGCAGGTTTGCAGCCTTACAGACATCCATCCAGGTGAGGAGTGAATACCAGAGTCTAAAGCGCCAAATCTCACATTCTTCTGTGTCATGAGGCTCGATAGAAGTTGTCGGGAGCAGAATCCAGCTGCTGTCAATGCAGTGGTATGCGCGCTTATCAGTGACAAGTCAGATGAGACAGATGTGATCTTCACAGACGGGTCCGTTATACGAGGACATAAGAGTGAATGGACATTTACAGCTCGCTCTTAAGGCAAAACAGTTAAGGAAGCCAGCGGTGCCTTCTCCATGACCACAAGCAGCATGGTGATGGAGGTGATGGCGGTGACACAGGCTTTCATGTGGCTGGGATCACAGGACTATTCCCGCGTGTGTGTGTGCTGAGTGATTATTTGAGTATGATCCCGCGGGTCAAAGCAGGCTGGTTACACAGACAGTGGCTTGAGTCATTGCAAAATTCTCCTGTGTGTGCAGTTACTTTCATATTCGTCCCAGGGCATGCAGGCATTGTTGGCAATGAGAGAGAATTGAAGATGGCCGGCCCATGGATCATGCAGACATTGTCATTGCCCTTAGAGAGATAGGACATTCTGAGGATTTTAGAAGCAAGATGTCCTCATCGCTTCTAAGAATACACGAACTGGGAGTAAAGATCGGCACAGCCAAGCATGAGAAGCACACTGGATGCACACAAAGTGTTGTTAACCAACATAGGACTGGTACTATTAACCGCACAACGCTGATGAATATGTTGAGAGGGGAAGCTGAGCGCCTATGGATGTGTCCGGAGTGCTGTGAAGATAATCTAACTCATAACTCATAACTTATTTTAGAAAACAGTTTATATGGTGGTTCCCCTGTGCCCTCCACTCCTATCCAAGAAATGTATGTTTTATTTATTCTGTTGTTGGTAATGATATTACTTTTGGTAGTTTTATCATAATTTGTTGTTCCTGAACAGTTGTTATTCTGAAATATTTGTATGACCTGAGTTTGAAATCACTACAACACCAAAGCCAGGTAAACCTGCACTGTGAAAGAAAACTATCTGTGCTATAGAAACTTGCATATTTGAATTAATTTTATGAATTCCAGACAGACGAAGAAACAATAAAAGTGTCCAGACAATTTGTCAGCAGTTATAGTAAGAAGATGGCAGTATATTGAACACATCATTAGGAGAAGCAGGCAGAGACTCACTGAACAGGTACTGAAATGGGAAACAAATGAATTGAGGAATTAAGGATGTCCAAGAGAACCTGTCAGACGGACGTGGCTGGTAGAGACCTGAGGGGCTGGACTGGATTCCATCCATGATATTGAAACAATTGCACAGGAAATAACAAGATGGAGTACTAGGTAGTGAACCATATGTGACTTATAATGTCAGGACAGGAGAATGATAGGGATGACACCCCTGAAGGATATTCATGTGTATGTCATATGATATATGTAATTAATGAGAGTCCCTAATTGCCTTTTTATATCTTTTCAGGAAACTCTATTGCTGCTTGTTGCAGCTCAGAGAAAACTGTACATCTACGATTAACCAAAACTTCCCAGTCAGTTCCATCAGAGTCCATTGTGTTGCCAGTATGTTAGTTACATTTATGATTGTTACATTTTTACATTTTAACTAATTTAAAACCTGTTAAAATTTTTGTCAGTTTTATTTTGTTCAGCTAATGAGAGTTGCTTGGTTACATTTGTAGCAGGGAATCCGGTTTGTTCCACATTGTTTTTTGACTTCAAAATGCCCATGTTGAGTATGCAGAAGTATCATTAAAAACTTGTTAAGGAAATATAAACATTTTTTGATTCCATTGTTGCAGAGAAGGTTTTCGCTATGGTCCCACAACTGAGCGCAAAAGTTTGCGATGGAAATGACCGCCAACTGTAAAAACTCTTCTAGATAAGTCAAAGGGATGTGCATGCAACACTCGAGTCCTGGAAGAAGACCAAAGTCTAGACTTTCCGGCGGGGTTTAGTTTACCAACAGCGAACAAGATGGCCAAGAGGAATCCAGACTTAACTAACTGACGCTATCATGATTGTCCTGTTATGCCAAATGCATGTCACATAGGGCTCACAGTCTTGTTTTCCATTTTTTTTCTTCCTTGCATTTCTTGTTATATTATAAATGGAATTCAGTCTTATCAGGCACTTTTGACCTCTTTCAGCAACATTCGCCTTAAGGGTTTTTCTTGGACGTTATTGTTTCCTAAATCAGTTGTTTTCCATTTCAGTGCCTCTTTAGTGATTCTCTGCCTGTTTCTCCTCATGATGTGCCCAGTATGACACCATTTTGTTTTTCTTATAACTTGATATAAGTGGTTGTCCAGACATTTCTTTGCTTTTCTTGAATTCTTCTGGTTCCCCAACTCACATTTGTTACAGTTGAAATAAAATTAGCAATGAAAATATGCATAAATTGGTTTCTGTGTGAAATCATGTAACCTTATTGCGGAATAGTCAGTGATCTTGTAACACCTGCAGCTCTGAGGACTTTATTATTGGTTTTCTTCTCTTCCTATGACTATGATATTCTCAGCCTTTTTTCTTAAAACCACATCTTCACCGTCTCCACTCTGTTGTAAAAGGGTGGTTTTAAAAGAGAGTCAGGAATACACAAAAGGATGGAAGATGGAGGGAAAAGAATAAGAGAATACAATAAGATGTGAAGGTTCCCTCTTCCACATGGGGAGTGTAATATGTGGTCTACACCCAGGTGATCAGGTAATAGTCATTGGAGGTATAAAAGAGTTTAATTGTATCAGTATAGTGTATAGTAAAGTAGCTGCAACCGCCAACAGTGGTACAACACCTATATTCAACAACTAACAATAGAATACAAGAATAACGACTAACGCAATAAGAGTTTTTTCTGGAAAAGATTTACTTCTCTTATCACACAAACAAGATCACCTAAAACACTACATAATACACAAAATGTTAAGTAATAACCAAAGTGAGCTAAACCCTCTAACCTTAAACTGATGAGCTAACATTCTACATAAAAGAATTCTGCAATAGAAGAATCTGCTACCTTCCTTCCAGGAAGGTATCGGGAATTATCTGACACGTCTTATGACTCTTACTTAGTTCTGCTGTGTCTCCAAACCAGTGACATCTCACCAGTCGGGTTTTATTTCCATGCCTCTGTTCTCCCGGAGGAGCTTTCTGTTCAGAATGTTCCTACCCTGACTACTTACCAAATTAGCCCTAGCCTCCTGAGTTTTAACTTTGGCCAGAATGAGGTTACCCAAACAAACAGGTCACCACACAGTTGCTCCACTCCTGTGCTAACGAAAACCACACAGAATGTCCATCACTGTCCCTTGTGGAAAAATTGACACAGACTGCAGTCTCAGATATCCACTAGCATACACACGCATTAAAAGCATAAGGCCGCCGTCAGATGTGCTAACACAAACAGTCTGACCTAGAAATGCAGTTCATCATCAGTAATAGTAGCAGTTACAAACAGATCAGTAGTTAATTGCACACATAATTAATCACATAAGATACCACCAGTTCTGTGGCAACAGGCCACTCTCCATTTTAAGAATCTACAGTTCACAACCGTTGGTCACAGTTGAGAAATATTCCAGATGAAATCCACAGCTCACTATGTTATGCCATGCAGTCAGCTTAGTGGCTGGGCAACGAAACTAGCCTTTTAACAACAAATGGAGGACAATGCAGCGGCTGCCACTTGTCATTAACACAATTTGCCACTACTAAAAACAGTGAACGTGCCTGAACTCCATGCTGACAGGGAAGTCCTGATAATTTTGCTAAGGATGGTAAAACAGAAACTATGGAGTATGTTTTTGTGTTTGAAAATAAAATGATATAAGATGATAATAAAATTGTGATTATTTCAGGCTGGCTGTCAGTGTCTGGATTACAATTCATCATCTCGGTTCATACTTTGTGGCTGTGTGGATGGGAGTGTACATATTTGGGACCGTAAATCAAAAGTCATAAAGAAATCGTATGGGGTTAGTTTTCTCCATATATTTTTGTTTAGTTTTTAAAATCTTTTACCTTAGTGTGGCTAAGAAAAAGAATGTATGTATATGTGTGTGCATGCATGTATGTATGTGTGTATATATGGTGCTGGTTGGTTTTGATTCAGTGCTCTGCTGACTTCCCACTTAGTGCAGAGTTTAATTGTTTTTAAATATGTAAGCTTATTCATGCCATTTGGGCTTGGGCATATGATGGTAGACTCATATTTGTATCTAGCAATAGGCCCTCCATACAAGATGTCAACATCATGTCGGCTGCCTTTACGTCCAAGACATATGTGGTACCCATTTAGGGCTGGTCAGCTTGAGAGCCAAGACCATAAAAAAAAAAAGAATCTAGTCATCCTAATCACAAACCTGCTGATAAATGGCATCATGTCTAAAAAAAATGAATGCTTTGGCAAAATTAAATGTTGCGGTGGCTTAGAAGAGTCTTCAGTGGCTTTGAGGAGTCTTCAGGGGCTTTAAGGAGTCTTCAGTGGCTTTGAGGAGTCTTCAGCGGCTTTGAGGAGTCTTCAGGGGCTTTGAGGAGTCTTCAGTGGCTTAGAAGAGTCTTCAGTGGCTTTGAGGAGTCTTCAGGGGCTTTGAGGAGTCTTCAGTGGCTTAGAAGAGTCTTCAGTGGCTTAGAGGAGTCTTCAGTGGCTTTGAGGAGTCTTCAGTGGCTTTGAGGAGTCTTCAGGGGCTTTGAGGAGTCTTCAGTGGCTTAGAAGAGTCTTCAGGGGCTTTGAGGAGTCTTCAGGGGCTTTGAGGAGTCTTCAGTGGCTTAGAAGAGTCTTCAGGGGCTTTGAGGAGTCTTCAGTGGCTTAGAAGAGTCTTCAGGGGCTTTGAGGAGTCTTCAGTGGCTTAGAAGAGTCTTCAGTGGCTTTGAGGAGTCTTCAGTGGCTTAGAAGAGTCTTCAGTGGCTTAGAGGAGTCTTCAGGGGCTTTGAGGAGTCTTCAGTGGCTTAGAAGAGTCTTCAGTGGCTTAGAGGAGTCTTCAGGGGCTTTGAGGAGTCTTCAGTGGCTTAGAAGAGTCTTCAGTGGCTTTGAGGAGTCTTCAGTGGCTTTGAGGAGTCTTCAGTGACTTTGAGGAGTCTTCAGTGGCTTAGAAGAGTCTTTTCCTTTTGGTTGCCCGGGAGTCAATGGTACAAATTTATGGGGTCTGTTTTTCATTGCAGAAATTTTTTAAATAGTGTATATTTGATCAGGAGGAACGATTACATATGGCTCTCATGCGGGAAACCCATGTTCAGGGGTAAGGTAATGGTGTTTTTCTGTCTAGGGCAGAATTAAACATCTCAGTCTGCGTAGTCCATGGCGACAGCACCAGCCGTGTGACCCCAGATCCTCAGGGTGATGACCCCCACCCTTTTTTTTAACACTGCCCTAAAAAGTGGTAAATACAGACAAAAGTGAGAGTTTGACAGTATACCTGAACAGTTCTGAGTAATTGATTTGTTAATAATAGAGGTTTCTGTAAATTTTCTTGGGGGCGGGGGGGGGGGGGGGGGGGGGGGGGGGGTTGTAACATTTTTATGCCAACTGAAGTTGGGGGGTTGTGGTTTTGGGGCCGTTAAAAGCGCTTACATTGGGGAATATAGAACAGGCGATGTTGCTGGCAGCAGACAAGTAAAATACTAAGTGTTGGTGCCTGGTCACTAAGCTTGGCATCCCTGCAACATTGGATAGACCCTTGCGAGTGAGCTATGAATGGCAAGGAAAGTCACTCTCTTTCTGGACCTAAAAACATTACTATAACGCCCTTTTTTTAAAATGGCTTAAAAAGTATGGGATCTATGGCAGTACCTTGAAATGTGAAAGGGGTTGTCAAGTTTTAGCTAATCGGTAGCCACTGACTTGGACAAGTGGTAATGGAATTCATTGGTATTTGAAGGAAAGGTAGGAATTAGGGTTTCGAGCATCTGTTTGGCACATGGAGCCTTAAGCTCACTAGACAGTTTAAATAAATCTGGAACCAAACTTAAAACGCTTAACTTTGCCAACAAATTGGTAACGCTGAATGGATTTGAAATATGGAGGATAACTAAAACAGCTACTAATAAACTACAAACTTTCGTTAACTTGTGCTTGCACGTAAGAAAAGGACTAAAATAAAAAGGCAGAAACCAGTGTGAAGCTCACTGATTTGTCAAGCCGTTAGTTATTTTATGCATAATTTAAGTTATTACCAGTTTTTTGGATTGAATAGTCTAGTGTTAACATCATTATATATAAACATTCCCCTGTAATTTTGGTTTTGAACATAACTTGAGATTGACTGAGCCATCTGTTGCCATTTTCTTGCAGAACCTGAAACATCCAGTAACAGTGGCCCGGTGGAATTGGAATGATACGTACATCTCTGTGGGCTTGGAGAATGGGAACATAGTTCTGTATAACGTAGCCACCAGTCAAGCTAGTAGTCCTCTGGTGGCTCCAAATGTAAATGTACGTCTGTGTCTTCATGTTTCCAATGTTTTTAATGCACCCACTCTGTTTAATGTTTACAGTTGAATTAAAAATCAACATCACAACACTCGGGACATTCCCATACACACTCCATCTCCATCTTCAGCAGCAAGTGCAGAAGTTCCAATTCCAGTGATACCAGTAACAGTTTGATTGTCTCACCTTTCTGCTGGGTGTTGATCATCGACCAGATCCCTTGGTCATTCCTTGCAGCACCATTCTTCTCAGACTGATGATCCATCTGTGCCTCTGCACTCTTCACTTGCTTCCTTACAACATTTATCTTGTCATACATCAATTCACTACCAAGTTGTGTAGAAGCAGCCAGTCTGTCTGCCTGCTCATTTCCCAATACACCAGCTCTCCCTGGAAAGAATATCTGAAGGACCCTAACTACCCTGTTGAATGATTGAATGTAACCGGTACAGGAGTCCTCATGAAACATAGATAATGTTGCTTCAGTTAATTGGTGGCTTGCATAATGAAGTTGGTGTCTGTGACTTAGGCATGCAGTCGTGCTTCATAATTCTGAGATCCCTGATTCTGTTCCAGTTGTGGGCGATTTAAAAGTAGACTGCTTTGCGTTGACAGTGATATGAAGAGCCAACCGTTCAAAAGGGAGTGGCAAACTACTGAATATAAAATGGCCTAGTAAAATCTCAAGCAGCCAAAAATTGCTAGGGTTGGTACTGCAATATCATTGAAAGGACATGTAACTAATTTTAACTGTATTGTTATAATGAAAAAGTAATTAGGGAAATACGTTAATCGTAAGATAACCAGTACATTTTTGAATCGCTTAACTAGTAAGTTGTAAATCATAACTAGAAAAGAAAAAGTTATATAGCCTAGAAGAACTGTTAAAATGACTAAATAACACAGCTTATATTTGCATCCAATATGAATCATAAATCAAATGAGTAAATCATAAGCAGAAACATGGATCACACAACCAGAAAACTTATAAATAAATGAATCATAGCCAAAGAAACATCATCATTTAACTAGAAAACATGGAGCATATAACCAGAAAACATGGAGCACATAACCAGGAAACTTCATATAACCAGGGTCAGTTTTAGTTTAATGATTTTTTGCTTCATGGCCATGAACTACAGGTTTGGAATTTATTTTTTGCCCCTGAAAGTGCTTCTTGCTAAGGATTTAAATCCAGGCTTCCAGAGTGAGAGTCCAGCATTCTAACCACTCAGCCATATCCACTTACAAGGTACAATTTTTTCTCCAGCAACCAAGAATGTAACATGTTATAGTTTTGTTGGTAGTTACTGTTGTGTTGATTTTAAAAAAAAAATATCTAAATTTTAATTCATCAAATTTCAGACAATTAGGCAGCTAAAATACAACCCTTACCAGAAATCATCGCTGGTGTCAGTCTCTGATGATAGTGCGGTGAACTTCTGGGATGCAAACACACGCCGGCTGGTGCATGCCTTTACAGAAACACACCAGGCCCCTGCTAGAGATCTGGCGTTCTCCCCCATTAACGATTTTCTCATGGTCAGCGTAGGGCTGGACAAGCGAGCTGTGTTTTATGATGTTCAAAACAAAAAGTGAGTTATCCTTTGAGTAATAGAATCTGCTTGTTCAATCTTCCGAGCCCTTGAGGTTCACAGATGCAGAAATCTCCTGTCTCCATTCATCTCTGTGTGGTCTTCTCTTTCCAGTTGGTGACTGTGCCTGTATATTATCTCCACTATTTTCTTGGTCTGCCTTGTAGTCTACTCCCTTTCAACTTTTTTGCGTACATAGCTTTTGTATCTCTATCTGCAATTATCTCAATATGCCCCAGCCTTTTCAGTTTCTTAGCCCTCATGAGGCCATTAATTATTAGTGATTTAAATGTATAGGGAATTTTGTTATGGATTCTTACTCCCCATTCCCTGTTGTTTGCTTTTTCTCATTTAGTTGTACTCCAGGTTTCAGAGTGTATGTGGAGCCCTGATATCTTAAGGTATATAGCTACACATTACAGTAAGAAGAGAGTTTACCAACACCAAGTGAACATGCTAGTCACTAGAATAGCGCCATTCTTTGGCTGTTGTGATGATTTTTCTAGGCAAATGTGACATTCATGAGTTCACCACTGCTGCTTGCATGATGTGAAACTCACAGATAGCATTGTCACAGTCAGGGCAGGGTGGTCTGCTTTCAACTACAACTGATTTTTTACCCCAGTATGTCAGGATTATGAAACTGCATTCACTATTACAAAACCACTGATGATGACTAGGGATATGTTACACAACTACAGTGTAACCTCAGATATGAATTTAATCCGTTCAATGACTGAGCTCATGTCGTGAACAAATTGTGTCCTCAAACTATTTTGCCCCCAAAAAGGCAAGGTATTGTGCAATAATTTTAACTAGTTCCAGCCCTCCATAAATCACCTGTTGGTTTTAAAATGAAGTTTTTCATCTCATTAATTGTTTTTCTTGTTTTTGCTGGCAGTAGAAAATGGGATTACTTCCAACCATATTGCCATTGTCTAACATCATCAAATGCTTTTATGCGAGAGGTCCCGGGCTCCTGACCAGGTGTCAAAAGGTGACTGATCATGCCTCACTCATTTATGCAAAATTTTCCCAAGCCGACCTCCTTGCGACTAATTGGGTTCCCTACCTGAGAGTGCTAAATTAACACAGGTCACATCATACCACTAACACAGATAACATTCAGCAGCCAACCACATCGACAATACATGAAGAATCATCTTTTAATCGTGCATCAGTCTATTTATTGGGACGAAACACACTGACGATAAAATGAACTGGGATACAGGACAACTGTCCATCTAATGCATCACCTATACACACTGATATATTTCCAAGGCGATGTCACATGAAAGGGAACGCATCACCTCGACTTGACTTGAGTCCACAACGTACGCCTTTGGCCTACTGGCCCACTCTTGTGGTCACCAGTAGCCTTAATGAACGCTTCGGTTATGTGCCCACACTTTGGGTCACCAATAACCTATACATAATAACTGACTAGAGACTCTGACCCAGGCACACCAAGTCTTCCGACACACTGTCGAATCAGAATCCTGACGAGGAACGACATGATCACGTCCTCGCAGTTCAGCCACATGAGGCTATATATAGACTTTTTGGGCTACTTTCTGTCCAATATCTTACTCCTGCAAGATTCGTGACGTAAGTTTTATCATCCCACAGACCCGTAAATACAATTGTGGCAGAGCATCCTTTAACGTGTGTGGATATTATGCAAGATGGTGCCACTGTTGTTGTAGGCACTACAAGAGGGAGAATTTTATTCTACGACATGAGACAGCCAACATCCCCTGTGTTTAGTTTTACAGCTCACAAGTCTTCGGTGAAACACCTGAGTTTTGTCAGAAAGGTAAATATATCAGAATCTTATAACACCTTGCTTCCTTCATCATATTTTATGAATTTCTCCATCCTCCTCTTCTGCTTTGAAGCTTATGCTTCTTTAATTTCTCCTTTTCCACCTCCTTCTTCCTTGAGAACCTAGTAATATAGTGGCTGGATGCTGACTGGGTGGCTCAAAGGTCTTTGGTTTGAATCTGTATTAAAAAGCTTTTGTTTACTCTATGACATCAGACCGACAGCATCCCCTGACTTTTGCTCTAAAGTCTAAAATGGGTAGCTGGTAATGTTCCAGGCAGTAAAGATGCTTAGCCCGATGGTGACCACATCATCCACCAAGTGCTGATTTCTAGAGATAAATGAATCTAGCATCATATGCCATAAAAATGTCCTTTAATTTTTCTTTTTCCTAATTTGTTAGGGAGCACAGGACCCAGCTACTTCACTTGAGCTACTTGTATCTTCTTCTTTTCTCTACTCCTGGAAGACCTCGTCAGGGAAACAAGAGATCTCTAGAACGGGCCCTTCTGTTCACTTCGTATATAGTACTTTTCAGTGTCAGTTACTTGTATACTTCAGACAATATCAGTTCTGACTTCACAGCAAACGGGTCACCCATCATTGCTCTGTTTCTATGTCAACAACAAACAAAAACCACTAAGAATGCCCATCACTGTCCCTTGTGGAAAAATTGACACAGACTACACATGCATACACAAACATCCATGTAAGGCTGGTGGTTGTCAGAAGTGCCAACAAAACACTCCAACACTAGAATTGCAGTTAATCATCGATGGAAGCAGTTACAACAAATCAGTTGTGCACATTCAGTTAACTGCAACAAAATACATTTGTAAGGTTCTGGAAAAGGTAGTGAAAGGTCCCCATCTTCAGCAGCAAACGAAGAGTTCCAATTCCGATGGTGCCAGTAACTGTCTGATTATATATCACATGTCAGTAGCAACTGTGACATACTGAGCTTATATAGCCTCATGTTTAGTCCAGTATTTCCCAATGAGTGGTCTGTGCAGCCCTGGAGGTTACATGTAAGTGGTCCCTGCAGCCCTGGAGGTTACATGCAAGTGGTCTGTGCAGCCATGGAGGTTACATGCAAGTGGTCTGTGCAGCCCTGGAGGTTACATGTAAGTGGTCTGTGCAGCCCTGGAGGTTACATGTAAGTGGTCTGAGCAGCCCTGGAGGTTACATGTAAGTGGTCTGTGCAGCCCTGGAGGTTACATGCAAGTGGTCTGTGCAGCCCTGGAGGTTACATGCAAGTGGTCTGTGCAGCCCTGGAGGTTACATGTAAGTGGTCTGTGCAGCCCTGGAGGTTACATGTAAGTGGTCTGAGCAGCCCTGGAGGTTACATGTAAGTGGTCTGTGCAGCCCTGGAGGTTACATGTAAGTGGTCTGTGCAGCCCTGGAGGTTACATGTAAGTGGTCTGTGCAGCCCTGGAGGTTACATGTAAGTGGTCTGTGCAGCCCTGGAGGTTACATGTAAGTGGTCTGTGATATCCTATTTGCTGTGTAGGTTACGGGGCACCATGATGACAATAGACTTACTGCTTACCCAGAAGCATATCCTAAAAGTCGAATAATTGGGAGCTTCCTTCGAAGTTGGATTTCATCTGCTTGAGAGGCAAGGAACCAACAGTCTGCATACAAATGAGTCAGATCTGTTGAACGAATGTGTAGGCAGCACACAAGTTCTGGAGCTGGACTAGAGTCCAGAAGTGGACAAACAGTCAAAACTTTTTGCTGGAATTTACAGCTTGTGAAAGCACAGTAGAAGAAGAAGATTTACACACACACACAAAATCAAAAATACTAAACTTTAGAAATCCGTCCTTTTCTGTGATACCGATACTTGAACATGATATGTTCTTTGGTGTGACTTTTTAAAAGCTAGGGGGTCCGGGGTAGACCTTTGAAAAAAGAAATGGGCCGTGGGTCTTGGCTAATCGGGACACATTGGTTTAGCCCCATCACTTATGTAGATGTTCTCTGTGTTTATGTTTCTTTTGTTTACAGGATGGGGACAAGGGTGATTCATTGTCATCACTGAGCATACGTAGGCAGCTTCCGACAACCCCAGTCACTGCTGTGGATGCTTCCGGTCAGAATCTCAACAATTCTAGTGAGTGTTACATAATTGTATCCTCTTATTCTTACCAGCAAGACCTCCCAGGCAGAACAGGTCCAAGGGTAGAAAACAAAGAAAGACACCCCAGTTGGGGGTTGAAGCCAGGAGCTGACACCCCAACGTATAAGACACTCCGGTTGGGGATTGAAGCCAGGGGCTGACACCCCATTTTATAAGACACTTTGGTCGGGAGTTGAAGCCAGGGGCTGATATTCCTACATTTAAGACACTCTGGTCGGGGGTTGAAGCCAGGGGCTGACACCCCAACATTTAAGGATCTCCAGTCGGGGGTTGAAGCCAGGGGCTGACACATCAACATTTAAGACTCCAGTCAGGGATTGAAGCCAGGTACTGACACCCCAACATTTAAGTCCGGTCGGGGGTTGAAGCCAGGGACTGACACCTCAACATATAAGACTCCGGTTGGGGATTGAAGCCGGGGGCTAACACCCCAACATTTAAGACTCCGGTCGGGGATTGGAGCAAGGAGCCGACACTGCAGCATTTGTAAACTCTTATTTTCATCACAAAACATATTTGGCGACACCAGCTGTCATAAAGATGAATAGAGAGGGGTGATATATCTGCGAGAACAAAGATCAAGGACTTAGAATTTTGAGCAAAAAAATTATAATTTCTGCAGACCTGAATGTTAGAGCTGTTGCTTTGTGTAGCAAAGTGGCTGGGTGTGGGAAAAGGCCACATCTTCTGATAGCTAGGCAATGGCACCTGTTTCTGGCTCTGCCTCTCCCTCTGCCACCACTGATCTTTCATTGTAATGTCCTCATGTGCTTTTTTCTTCTCTCATTACATCAGCAAACAATACTGTATTTCTCTTGATCACATGTTAAACACAGAACTTCTCTTGATCACATGTTAAATACTGAATTTCTCCTCATGTTAAACACAATTTTAAAAAAAAATTATCAGCATCATGTGCTGTTCCGGTAAGCATAGGATGAAATGTTTCAGAACCTCACACAATCACCAAAATCGTGAATCAGGTCAGTGTTCTTGTCTTACCCCATCTATGTGGCTAAGCCATCCTGGTATTTATCTCTTGCCTTCCTCTTGCTCTCTGTCCATCAATCTTGCCAGTTGTTGCCAAGTTCTCAAGTTCATTCCTTTGCAAAACATGTCCAGAAAACACTGTTTAATTTTGCAACATGTCCAGAAAGCCTAGACTTTCCATGTTTAATTTTTCTGATGTATGCAATAACCAGAAAAATGAATATCTACCTGTCTGTTTATCTGGCCATTCATTTGTCTGTAGATCCATCTTCTTTTTGTGATTTTTTTTCTTGATTTACACTGGCAAGTTCCTCTAATAAAATTAACTTTTTTTTTTTTTGGAGTTACTCTTTAGTTCCATACAGCTTTGAATATGTTAACTTATTTGTCCAGTATTTCCTTCTTAATGAAGTCTACAAGGGAAAGTTTTGCAGGATGTGGTCTGTGGTTTGTACCTACTGTGTGAACCACTCAGGTGATACCTGTACATATGCCTAAGTTTGTTACATTGTTTCCTGAGGTGTAGAATGATGACCTGTCCATGCCGTGCAAGTGGGCAGTAGTCATCGTTGGCCTGATTTTGTTCACTTCTGATAGACTGGATGTCCATCCATCTCATGTGTACAGTAAATCGCACAGTGCTTAATTTAAAACAGAAAGAATCCCCTCTGATTGGTCCCCATGTGGTGGTAAAAAGGATTGCATGTTCCAGTGACCACACCAGTTGTTCCAGTTATAGCTTAGTGTGCTTGCACTCTCACATACTGGGCATGTCAAGGAAGAGGAACCATACAAAGAGGGACACACACCTGTTACCTTGCATTTAGACCTGCAGCAGTCACAACTAGGGAAAGCAAAGCCGGTAGAATATTTGTAGAAATTAGATGTTCTGAACCAGTTATAGCTTAGCTACTTGTTGTCTCCCATGTTGGACATGTCAAGGAAATGGAACCAGACAAAGACAGACACCCACCTGTTAACTTCGCATTTAGATCTTGTGCAGTCAAAGCTAGGTTAAGCAAAGCCGGTAAAATATTTATGGAAATTAGATGTTCTGAATCACAGCCTTGACAAAACTGTAGCATAACTGATATCATGCGGAGACAGAGAGAATTAAAACTGTAAAGTGCAGACCGCTTAAGGCGAATTTCTGTTGTTAAAAACAATTTGTTTATCCCTGCAATTTTTCTTGGTTGAATTTGTATCTGGATAAGAAGAATTTATGATAAGAAGAACCATTTCTTGGGCCCCGGTAAGTTTCCTTCTGTTTCCTCTTCCTAATGCATTGTATAAGTTGATCTTCATTTAAGAATTTGATGCTTAAATATATTTTCTTTTCTGTCAGATTACCAGTCTCCAAGAAACAATACATACAGCACAGGAATGGATATCTTCTCACCGATTAGTCATGGTAAGGATATGTTTGAGTGAAGTTCAATTAAGAACCAACATCACAGCACTCCGGACATTTCCATAAGCACTCTATCCCTGTCTTCAGCAGCCAGCACAGAATTCAGATTCCGTAGGTACCAGCAGCAGTCTGAATGTATGTCCCTAGTGCCTTTTCTCGGACTGTTGAGTATCGGCCAGATCCTGTCATCACTCCCTGCTGCACTATACTCTTCAGACTGTGATGACCTATTTTTGCCTCCACACTTTTCATTTTGATCACATCTGTAAGCATCAGTTTACCACCAGGTGGTACAGCACCAGCCAGTTTGTCTGTGTTTATTTTGTTAACACACCTGTCTGCCCTGAAGACAATATCGGAAGGATACTAACTCTGAAGTGATGCTTGCCACTGTACAGAGCATGGCTCTTTCCACCTTTCTCAGCATGCTTTGTGAATCGCTTACAGTCTGGTCCTCAGGCCATTGGAAGACCTCAATGACTGCCTCCACCCAGCATGTTTTGTTAAACACCCTTAAAATGAAATTAGAATCATTTACCCGCTTTTAATGTATTTCATAATTTCTGTTCTCAAATGTTCGAGAATCCATTTATAGAATTGTTTACATTATTTTTGAGAGAAACTTGAATGCAGAATTAAAAGTTTATTCTCATGTTTAATTTATTTATGGATACTGGCATAGCCTGTAGTATACATGGACTTTAAATAAGGTGTAATCTGTAGAAGAAACGTTAGTGTCTTCTGGCTCAGGCTCACAAAGAAAATAAAAAATTCATCCAAATGCAACAGTACAAACGCATGCACCAACGAATTGTAAAGATAAATAGCTGGAAGAATACTACAAAAGCCTACAATAAACACCAAAGTGATAAAATCAGCAGAGATGGGAGTCATGGAAGATAAAGAATGCAACAGTAGGGAAAACTAAACAGGCAGATTGTAGGATAAAATGGCACTGGAATCGACGGCGACAGAGGAGATAGGCTGATACATTTTTGCGAGGAGAACCAGCTCATTATATCTTTTATTCATTATTCTCATTGTTCTTCTAATAACCACCTAGGAAACTGTGCGGCAAAGACCTGGAGGTAGAAATAGAAACCAAATTAATTATGAGTAGAAACAGATTTAAAAACAGAATCATACCCTGGTGCAGATATCAACTTGGTGTTCCTGTGGGAAAAAAGGCAGATAAAAAAAGAATTTTTTTAAAAACTTGAACGGTCTCTTAAATTCTCATAATTAACTCTTAACTAATTTTTTTAATACTCATAATTAATCTTAACTCTCTTTTGGGTACGCAGAGGTGTATTATGGTGTATAATTAATTTACTGTTTTTTTTCCTGTCTTAATTAGGAAACAAAAGCAGTAACTCTCTGACAGAGAAGACCACTGGGGAACAGTCTTGGATGCATAGCCTAGGCAGGTCACATGTTGGAGATATATTTACAGCAGGTAAAGGAATTATTAATAGATTTGTATGTCTCAGGTGAAAAAATAGGTATGTATTAGAAAACATAAGTATTTGTATTTATCAGAGGTCAGATTTGCATGTGTCAAAGATACTGATTGTATGTGTCATATGTTAAGTGTCTCTTTTCAAGGTAAAATAAAAATCGAACCTCTAAGTCAGGGGTGGACAAACTGGCCGGGATATAAATTGTTTCTGGCCCGCGAGGCTAATCTAAAATTACTTGTCATTCCCAGCAACATCTTAAAGCTTGCACACACAGATAAAAAATGCATTAGGCAGTCTGTCATATGTGCCAAAACCAATGGTCCCACACCAGAATTGCAGCTCACTGTTATGCTGTCAATCATAAGGCTGGCTTTTCACCTGCAAAAGTACATGCTGCCTACTATTTTAGTGCAGTCAACAACACACTGCAGGCACAACAGAAAAAACATTCCACAGCAAATCCACAGCTCACAGTGTAACACCAAGCACTCAGCTTAGTAGCTGGGTTGCTGAAAACTTTGGACTTCAGGTCCAGATGTAGGGAATTTGCATTAGCACAGCTTAGCTGTGGAGCAGCCATGATGTAATGACTAGATGCTCGCATGCAGATCAGAAGGTCATGGGTTCAAGTCCTGATGGACCCGGACTTTTTTTTAATATATGATCTTGGCTCCCAGGTTGACTCAGCCTTGACTGGTTACCAGGTGGATTACTGGGAAGTAAAGGCAGTAGGCTTGATGCTGGCCACATCACAGACTAAGGGCCGATGGATCAATAAAAACAGCTTAGCTGGAAACAACATGTCACAGTGTCAGCGGTCAGCCGGCTATCAGCTATATTGGCCGGAAGTCAACAAGGCATGGTATCTTCTGCTGTTATCTTTATAATGGATTGTCACCCATGATCAGTTTGGTAATTGTCAGTTTGGCCTATGGACCATAAATAGTTGCCAACCTCTGCTGTAGGTTTACATTGTAAGGTATAATAGTGCAACTGTTAGATGAATGTCTGCTGGTCTTAGGTTCAAATCCTTATTGATGTGGATAACATTATTAACCTGCCTACCAGGTTACCCTGCCAAAAATGTGTACCAAGAATTGGCCTGGGAAGTAAAGGCAGCCAGCCTGATGTTAAAAACATCCAGTTAGTCTGAAAAAAAATGTAATGCTCTAGCACCAAATACCTCAAACATCGGTGTTGTGAAAAAAGGTCCTAGACTTTTATTTTTGTGGACCTGAACTATGTGGCAACTGTCAGGGAGCATAGACCTAATAAAATTATCCAGTTAGCATAGTATATCATAAAGTAAGGCTATTCAGCTGGCGGCCCGCGGGCCACCTATGGTCCGCAGAGACATAGCAAGTGGCCCGGGAATAATTGCCAGTTGTACTGTATTATTGAGCTTTCTGTGATGGGGTCCTGGCCTGTGACGATCCCCATTTTGAAGATTTTGGCCCCTAGGTAAACTTAGTTGAATGGCCCTAGTGTATAGAAGGCCATAACATTTTAATTTGAAACATGAGTGGATTGACACCAGCCATGGATCCTATTGCTTGAAGGAGAGGGGGAAAAAAGGGGGGGGGGGGGAAGCAGGAAAGAAAATCTTCTTTCGTTCGCTTGAAATAAATTATCTGTATTTGCAGTGCTGTCTCTGGTGTGAACTTTAGTGACCCGTAAAGTTTGGCTACAACCAGTGTGTTTCTTGGCCAGAAGTTTGGGCTATTCTCCGAATAACAGTCCTAAATTATCGAGGCAGAAAATATACCCTAACAGGGCCTCAGTCACGTGTCAATAATCTAAATGTAGAAAATCCCAAGCAAAGGCAGCATTTTACAAAATGAAGAATATTTTATGCAGTCTTTCTTTGTCAGTTTAAACAAGAAAGAGAATTCTTAAAAGCTATATAAATCCCATCTTGATATACGGAAGTGAATCATGGACAGTGGGTAGATGGATACAAGATTATGTGGAAGCTGTGGAGATGTGGTTATATAGACGAATGATGAGAATACCCTGGACATATCAAAAGTGTAATGTAGTTGTTTCGAAAAAAGCTGGCTCATGAAGAGAACTGATTGCCCACATCAGAAAGAGACAATCTACATTCTTTGGTCATGTCATGAAAGGAGAAAACAGGAGTACATTGTGACAGTAGATAAGTTGGAGGAGAAGAAAAACAGAGGGAGACCGAGAGAGAAGATGATGGACAGTTTGACATCATGGCATTGAGGATCATCTATATTAGAGTTGATTGAGATATACACAAGACAGAAGGTTATGCATAGATGAGACTACCAACGCCACACGGCATGGACTTTAAGGAGAAGAAGTCTAGATGATTTGGACCACAAGGCGCAGAAATCACAACCTAGCTGCAAATCACAACATGCCATCCACCCTTTTAAGGGCGAACACAGAAGTATAAATAGTCTGAAATTTTAGTTCTGTTTATGGTAGTAACAGTAACATTGTTTTCACAGATGATAATGTCACTAACATTCTTTCTGTAGGTGATGGTGTGTATTCTCCTGTAAGACATGACAACTCACACAGCATCAACAGCACGTACAACAGAAGCTCAGTTCTCAGCAATAACTCTTTTCTAACTCAGGTTTGTAGTCTGTGTCATCTATGGTGATGCTGCAGTTAGTATTCTTCTTCTTCTTCTTCGTGAACACCAGCTGCAAACTCCAGCAGAAAGCTCTGGTGGTTCATTTGCCTTCAGACTCTAGTCCTGCTCCAGAACCAGAGTGCTGCATGCACATACATTTTTACAGATCTGACTCGTGTGTGCAGACTCTTGGTTGCTTGCCTCTCAGGCAGGGGCACTCTGGCTTCAAAGGTAGCTTCCACTTAATTGTCTCTTGCGACATGCTTTTGTCTAGGCAGTGGGTCTGTTCTTGTTGTCTCTACATTGGGCCCTGAAACCTAAGCCGGGTGTTAGTATTCTACATTTGACTGGTTGTGAGTTATGATTTGGGTTATCTTCACGGCACTCCGGATACGTCTATATGTGCTCTAATTCCCCTTCTACATATACATCAGCGTCCCGTGATTGCTAGTCCCAGTCCTATGTGGGTTGACAAGACTTCTTGTGCGTCCACTGCGCTTCTCGTGCCTGGCTGTGCCAATCTTCACTCCCAATTCTTGCACTCTTAGCAAAGATGTGGAAGTGCTGCTCCCAAAATCCACCGAAAGCCCTACCTCTATAACCGCTTTATGGGCATACTGTTTTTTTTTTTTTTTTTTTTTTTGGTACAAATAATTTGTAAAGTCAGATGTTTTCATCAGAAGTGCCTGACTGAGCTGTAGAAAAACTAGGCTGTCATTTGGGAGACCCAGATTATTAAAATCTTCAGTAAGTTGACAGTCTTTTCCTGTTTTGAGCAACACATGTCATGTGACCCTCAGGATCAAGATTTCCCTGTTCTGCACCACCCTAAAAAATGGTAACTACAAGCCATAAAGACAGTTTGTCATCGTTGATGTTTCATAGCTGTAAGCTTTACAAGGTCATTTATCAAAAGGTAATGAAAAACATGAATTGGAAACATCAATACATTGGCCATATTAGATGCCAAAATGGTTTAGAATGACAGTATTGCATGATGGGAAAGCATAGTTCATAGGAGAGAAGGCAAGGGAATGATCTTCACTGAGATAGATACAGGACATCAGAAACACCTGGAGGCCATTGTGACGTGCGGAGCTTCATTGTGACGCGCAGAGCTTCATTGTGACGAGTGTAAAAGTGTCTAGGGGGTGTCGCAATGTAACACATGGCATCAACACTTAACATGCCACTGGCCAAGAGTAACACAACATAATGAATGCTGAAGCTTCCAACGTAGCGGAACGAGAACTCTCTTTAAAAGTTCCATTTGTGTATTGACAAATGCAATGATCAACAAAAGAATACGTATGCAATCAATAATCAACTCGTTCAACCAAAGCTCACTCGTACATCCATGTATTGATATGTCCTCACGATAGGTCGCAGTCCGACCTTGAGATCCAGACAATTATCTTTGTCCTCGGGCAAGTCCAAATTAAGCAATGAAAGTATACCGGCTTACTGCCGAGAATGTAGTGTTCACCAGCTTCCTGCTGAGGTCTATCTTGGAATCCCGGGGTAAAACGTCCTCAAGGATCCAACTTCATATAACGTTTGCTTCCGTGGGATCCCGGGGTAAAGCGTCCTCAAGGATCCACACGTCCGTCTCCTTCGGACTATAAACATCAACTGCCTTTGACAACATTACCTTCACAACGTTACGTATTGTTTTGACGTCTTATTTGCTCACTCTGTACTGGTGCGTTCTGGTGCACATTCGCACGCGACAGCTATGAAAGTACACAAGTTGATAAAGAAGTCTCTTCTATAAGCTGTGAAGGGAAAGATATTCTACAAAGGACTTGCTTTATTTTGATGCTGAAGGAAGAGGGCTGGGTATGGGGCTAGCTCCCCCATGCTATAAAAGTTTGTTCCAGAAACTTGCATGATTCTAATAAACAAACATGTGGTGTGTTGTGCACAGAATGCATGTATGATGGGTGTAAATAAAAGCCGCTGTGCGAAAATCAGTGCTCAAACATGCACACTACTTGACACAGAAATAATCACTAGAATAGGTTTGTGGAAAGTTAGGACTATGGCACAGACACAAAAATCCACCCAGGTAGCAGAAGAAGAAAAAAAAAAGTAATTGGTTTTCCGTTGAAATTGGAGTGAAATAGGCACATATTTGGTCTCCCATGTTATTTGGCATAACCATTGACTGGGTGATGAAAATGTGTTGGGAACACCAACATTGCCTGGATGGAGGTTAGAAGACTACTGATTAGATTGTTCTGCTAAGTAAAAACAACAATGACATGCAAATAAAAAACAGATGATTTTAGAAAACTTATCAAAAGTTGAACTACGAATAACTTTTGAATAAACATATATATTGAAGACACCAATAACAGATCAAGCAGCTGTAATAGTAGAAAAACAATCGATTAAAGAAACAGGCCAGTTTACTTATATAGGTAGTGATGTTAATAGTCCAGGAAACACAAAGAAAGAAATTGTGACACGAGTTATGAGTTGAATTATCTTCACAGCACTCCGGACACATCCATAGGTGCTCAGATTCCCCTCTCAACATATTCATCAGCATCGCGCGGTTAATAATGCCAGTCCTATGTTGGTTAACAAGACTTTGTGTGCGTCTGGTGTGCTTCTCATGCTTGGCTGTGCCGATCCTAACTCCCAATTCCTGTATTGTTAGCAGTGATGTGGACACGTTGCTTCCAAAATCCTCAGAACGTCCTATCTCTCTAAGGGCAATGACAATGTCTGCGTGATCCATGGGCGGGCCATCTTCAATCAATGCAGCACCTGCCAGTCTATCAACTCTTTCATTACCAACAAGGCCTGTATGCCCTAGGATGAATATGAAGGTAACTGCACACACAGGAGAGTTTTGCAATGACTCAGACCACTGTCAGCGTAACCAGCCTGCCTCGACCCGACGGATCATGCTCAAAGAATCACTTAGCACACACACGAGGGAATAGTCCTGTGATTCTAGCCACATGAAAGCTTGTGTCACCGCCATCACCTCCATCGTCATGCTGCTGGTAGTCATGGAGAAGGCAATGCTGGCTTCTTGAACTATTCTGCCTGAATAAATATGGAATTCTAAATTGTAAAGTGCAAAGAAATTGAGGAACAAAGAGGGAACACACAAGACATGTATAAAAGAATAAGAACTGTTAGGTTTTGGAAAATATATAAGTTTGAACAGCTTGAAAACAAAAGAAGGTGAAATAATAATTGACAAAGAGAAAGTAATTGAAAGATGGACAGAGTATATAAAAAGAGCAATACGATGATAACAGCAGACCAGACATTGAGAGTCAGGAGTATTGGAAAGGACTGCCAATACTGAAAGCGGAAGAAGAAGATGATGCTACAAACACATGAAAAAATGTAAATCTCTAGGGTTAGATAAGATCATGATTGAAGAATTAAAAGCTGCTGATAAACTGAGTTTAGAAGTTTGGACAAAATTGTTCAACGATATTTATAACAGTGGATGACCTGATGACCTTTTAAAATCTCTTTTCATACCTTTACCAAAAACACCTGGTGCTGTGGAGTGGAGAACATTGACAAATTAGTTTAATGAGTCATGTAACTAATATATTAATGAGAATTATGAGAAGGATAAGGTGCAAAATTAAACCAGAAATTGGAGAAGAGTAGTGTGGTTTTGTGAAAGGTAAAGGCACAAACAACGCTATTTTTATCTTGAGAACAATTTCATAAAGAATGATTAAACAATAGAGATCTGTATTTTTGCTTTATTGATTACTCTAAAGTTTTTGATAAAGTGAAACAAATTTTTGGAATTTTGGAAACCTTAAACATTGATGCTAAAGATCTGAGAATAATAAAAAAAAACATATACTGGCACCAAGAAACAGCCATAAGGATTGACAACTAATTTGGAACTTTTCAAAACATTATCAATGTGTTAGACAGTTATGTGTACTATCACCCGATTTATTCAATTTGTAGAGTGAAATAATAATTAGATCCATACATGGTATGCCGGGAATATCAAGTGGTGGTCATATTGTTAACAACCTGCGATATGCTGATGATGTAGTTTTGATCGCTGAAAATGAAACACAACTGCAAGAAGGGATGGATATAATTGTAACGGAAAGTAAAAACAAGGGTCTTTGAACAGCAGATAAACGGAAGTCATGGTAATTACAAAGAAAACTGACCCTCCAAAATTCATCAAAGTAAATTGGGCAAACCTCAAACTAGTTGATATGTTTAAGTACGTGGGTAACCTGGTAAAAAAGGTAGACGGGAGATGTGAACCAGCGTCATTGCACACAGTTATAAACCATAAGTGCTCTACCACCAGTACAGACAGCTGATAAGAAACTGTCCACCTGTGTCGCCCTCCGCTCGCAACTCCGTAACTAAAGTGACGTTCCTCCATTTACCCCAGAGTGTTAACTCTAGTACCCATTACTTAGAGGCTGGGTGAACCTTAGGAACTGCTTGGTTTCAAACACCGGCCATGAGCTGCAGCGAGTCGCAGCTTGATTTGAAAGTTAGTCTCCTATCGACTGCGCTAACGTGGCCACTTAAACCTGAAAACATCAGATGGAAGGTGTATTAAGGAAGTTAAATGTCGAATAGCTCAAGCAAAGGCAGCATTTTACAAAATGAAGAATATTTTGTGCAGTCTTTCTTTGTCAGTTGAGACGAGAGAGTCATCTGTGTCATAGTTGATTTAATGTACACAAGACAGAAGGTTGTGGATAGAAATGACTACCAACACCACATGGCATGAACCATGTTATGTATTTTCAGTAGTAATGTTATTTCAGTTTTAACATGTGCCTATAAAAGTAGGAGAACCACTAGAGACATTGAAGAACGTTAAATAAATGCATTTTCAAAGTAAATGCCTGAGAAAAGTTTATTGTAAAATGGGATGAACTCAAGAGGGGTGAAGAAATAAGAAATGTCTGGGCAACCACTAGTAACAACTATAAAGCAAAGAAGATGCTGCCAAATTGGACACATCCTGAGAATAAACGAGCAGAGAATCTTCAGGCAGGATTGAGGAAGGGAGGCTGTCTAAAAGAAGCCATAAAACAAATGCCAATGAGAGGCCAAAAGTGCTGGACTGAAAGCATTCCATGATGTCAGAAGGATTTCACAGAATAGAACAGAATGGAGGAATAGACTGTGAGCCTTGTGTGAAATCTAAAGGCACAACAGAACAATGAGGATGTTGAAAAAGCTGAAATAGATAATTGTTTAGGAAACATTCTAACTTGACCACAAAAAAATGGATGTTAGTTTCATTGGATCTGTGCATCAACTTGCTATCTTTAAGAATATTAAATAATGAAGTCTCAGTCTCTTCCACGGTGTGACTCTTGTACCACTGTCCAAAGCCATTAGAATGGTCTTCTTAAAAACTACCTACCCACCAGGACCAGGGCTCATACTGGTCAAAACCTAATACACCTCTTTGTGGTTCGGTCATCCTGGAAACAGGTTTCCAACGGGGACCCTTATAGGTTTGATGTTTCCTTGAAAGTTGAAGTTTATCAGCCTGAAAAGCAAGGAACCAATAGTTTGCACAGAATAAGCCAGATATATAAATGGATGTGCACTCAACATTTAAGTACCTGAACAAAGCCAGTATCGTGCTGGATAAACAACCAGGACTTTTCTGCTGAATTTTGTAGCTGGTGAAAGCAAAGAAGAAAAAGAAAGTGTGCAGTGTTTATTTATTATGTATTATGTGCAAACAGGTTCTTGGTTCAGTTGACAATGTTCACAAGGATGTCGGCAACAATCACAGCAGCAGTTTGTATACCATTGGAGAAATTACCGAGGGAAAAACCATTCCAACTGCTGTTGATGCGGCCAGCTCACTACCTGAAAAAGGTCAGGTTTGTATAAGCTTATATTTTAAATAGTTTTCTTTGTACTACTGCTGCTGTTTCTGTTTCTGTTTCTTCTTCCTCCTTTTCTACCCCTTTCTCCTCCTCCTTCTTCTTATTCTTCTTTGTCTTCTTCTTCTTCTGTGCTTGTCCTTAAAGGGCGGTTTGCACATTGTGCTTTAGTTGACAGGTAGGCTGTGATTTCAGCATACCCCTAATTAATTGCTTTGTATGACATGCCTGTTGGGGGGCCATGGGTCTGTTCTCTGCCCATGGGGGCCGCAGAGCCCACATGTGGATAAAAGTCAAATGTCACCTGGTTGTGGAAACTGTAGCCTGGTCGAATGACTTGGGTTTGAATCTGCATCATGGTGGAATTTGCTTTTCAGAACAGACTTTGTCTGCCAGGTTGACCTAGGCTACAACAGGCATGGGTCATCAGAGGCAACTAATTAGGGGTATTTCATTCAAAGGCAGAGTGCATCTGTGTGAGAGGAAAGGAACCAACAGTCTGCATACAAATAGTCCAGATCTGTCAAATGGATCAAATTCTGGAACATGACCAAATTTAAGAAGTGAAAGGATAACCAAAACCTGCCACCGCAGTTTACAGAAGGTTGAATAGCAGTAAAGCTGTAACAACACAGTGACTTAAAAAGAAAAGAAAAAATAGCTGATCAGCTTTACAAGATCACAGTCATAAACGATAGCTTGAATATTGCGGGTAGAAAGACTTCGTCATCACACTGAAATAAAAGACACTGATGCAGCTACTTTTGAAAAAAATACATAAAAGTTGTTGAACCTTAAGGTTTTGATAGGATTTTGACTAAACAAACCCATTGAGCTTTTTGGTCAATATCTTTTGAAGCATTGCTCCTGAAGACTTCTTAATCCCAGTGCACGTTTTAAACTAGTTGTCTTAACAGTGGCATTAATGGTACAGGCTTAGAGGTGAATTCAGGAGAACAGGATGTCATAGATCACATTGAATTGAGAGGCTAGGGATGAGGGGGGGGGGGGGGGATAAGGAAGGGAACAGGGACAAAGGAGAACATGAATGCAGACAGGTTAAAAGTTGAGTGTCTGTGAAGAAACAGGTAAAAAACTAAGGCTATTCCAAAATCAACCTCAAATAAAACGAGATACCACAGCTGGCAGGACATGCAATGACAGTTTCCATGTTTATTCGTTCGCGGTTTGTGAACCACTAAACAAATGTGACCTTAGGTTGGTGTGTAGTGGGCTAAAAAGCTACTGATTGATGCAAGCAGTTAATGGTGTCACTATTGCAAATGGTTTATTTTTACCAGCCAATCGGAGGTTGATTTTGGAATAACCCTCATATATGGGATGGCAACAGTGAAATCTCATGTACTTCTTTTGAAAGATTGTTCCTAGACCTAAGGGGAGCTAGTCTTGCTGGACACACTGGCCATCATCATGGCCTGTGATTCCCATGCCTCTGTAAAGGACACTACTGCCTGGACATATGGATAGGTTTTAACATAACATAGGCTTAAAACAGGTCCCTAGGGATAGAAAAGACTGGAAGGATGTGGAAGTTTGCATATGCTATTTTGTTTTCCATATCCTGGATTGAATAGCTGTATTTTTTTTAAATATTTTTAATTATCTTCTTTCTAATGGTTCAAATTTTTGTTGTTTCTACATTTTTGTCCTATAGTTAATTGGTATTCCATTCTCCACATTCCTGATGTAGTGACTGTTTTCTATTAATTGAAAAAAGTTTATTGTATTTTTCACAGAAACTTCTCAAAGCCCGCCAAAGCTTCAGCCTCCGAGGGGCATTGGGGCATCCCCCAGTCTTCAACAGTTGTCTTCAAAGATAGAGAATGGTGGGGATTCAACACCGGGAATGCACAGAACATCGCCAGAGAAGAAACTCAGAACATCCCCGGGGTCTGTAGCCATGTCACCAACTGCTGGCCCACTTTCTCGGCCTGGCATCCCTTCTGCAGACAGGCCAGAGATTTTATCTACAAATTCCGTTAATGGCAGTGCTTCCGGAGGACATGGTCCTCAGGATGTACATTTGAGGTAAAGTACATACATGTGTATTGTTTTATATTCTGTTCTTAACTTTACCTTAACATAATCTTCACATTTATTAACCGCTCAACGCTGATTAATATATTGATAGGGGAATCTGAGCGCCTATAGATGTGTCCGGAATGCTGTGAAGATAGTCTAACTCATAACTCATGTATAAGGAGGTTAAATAAAAAATAAAAAAAAACATACATGTATACATGGTTTTACATTTTGTTTGTAGCTTGACTTAAATACCACCCATAGTTCTCAGAATGTATACTTGAGGTAACCTACATACATCTGTATGAGTTAAGTTATCTGCATGGCACTCCTGACACAACACCAGGTGCTTAGATTCCCCCTCAACATATATATCACCATCTCGTGGTAAACTGTGTTTCTCCTATGCTGGTAATAAGACTTATTTAGCACACTGTATGTTTATCTCATATCTGGCTGCACCTATCTTAACTCCCAGTACTGACATTATTGGCACAATTTTATAAAATGCAACTTTTTCGTGTCCTATTCTTTTCTAAATCTCTGTACTAGTCATTGTAATAACTGTCTCCATAAATGTTAATAAAAACTGTTGTTTTTCTAATTGATATCAATAAAATTATTCAAGCAATGTTTCCCCATTGTAAATTTGAACAAAGAGAACACAAAAAATAGACTGCACAGTTTATCGCCTGGCATATTTCTCTGTATCTCATTGAGTGCATATTACAGTAACAATTGATTAAAGTTAAGCAAATAAATGAATCTTTGGAACTGAAACACAAAATCAACTAGATTCACAAACTTTGTTTTACCGGGCTAACTGCAAGGTGAAAAGCGTAATAATTCTGGACTAAACCGGCTTATGGCGGATGCTTCCACAAATCTCAGTAATCTACGTTTGCCTGAGGTGTAAATAATTTGAAATGCATCATTCTTGTTTACAATGTGCCCAGAATTTAGAATATGGCATGCTATTTCTGATGATGAATTTTCTCGACCTGATTGTTTGTTGTTCAGTTGTTGTTAGTGTTTGAAAGTTTAGTTTATCATAAAGACACTTGGACAGGCCAGTACATCTATTTCAACAGTTTTGCACCTGTGCAATACAAGCATGGCATAGTGCGGACATTATTCAGCCACGCTAGAAAGATTTGTTCCAGCAACATTCTACAAACAGAATTTGAAACGATTAAACAAATACTGCGTTCAAATGGATATCCAGATGGTTTTATTAAGCGCCATTGCCAGGCGCCCAAACCAGTTACCATAGAAATGCCAGTACCAAGAAAACAAATATATATTCTTCTAACTTTTGGGGAGATGATGTTATGCAGTGTTTATATGACCGGCTCAAAACAGCAGTCAATCAAACTTTTGTACGCAGTCATGCCTGTTATCAGATTTAAAACCACTGTAATTCTCATGCCACCAGTGAAAAATCCTGTTTTGACATATGCCAAATTTAATTGTATTTGCCATTTTAAATTCACCTGTAATGCTGCATATGTGGGCGGAACTGATCGACGACTGGAGAAACAGGTTGCTGAACATATTCCACTATGGGTGGTAAAAGCAATGCAAAACACAACTCAACAACAAATCAGGTGACTGGTTGAAAAAATCCATCATCAGCAATAACGTGCCATATTTTAAATTCTGGGCATGTTGTAAACAAGAATGATGCATTTCATATTATTTTCACCTTGACCAACCATAGATTACAGAAATTTGTGGAAGCGTCCACCATCAACTAGTTTAGTCCAGAATTACGCAGACAAAAGGACATGCTCTTCACCTTGCGGTTACCCTGGTGAAACAAACAATCTTCGAATGTAGTCCATTTTGTGTTTCAGTTCCAAGGATTCATTTATTTGCTTGATTTTAATCAATTGTTACTAAAATCTGAACCTGGCAAGATACAGCAAAATAGGCCAGGCAGTAAATTGTACATCCTTTGTGTCTTCTTTGTTGAAATAAAATTATGTTAAAAATTATTCTTTGCAGATCTGAATTCCATGAACTGCCAGCCCCATCAGCTGTGAGAAATGGTGAGTTTTCAGGCTAATTATCATCTCAGACATGCATGTTAGTTATGTAGATGCGATCACATGTGTTGTAGGTTGCACATGCAGCTTCTGAAACAAGACAGCCACTGGTGCATTATTTAAACAGTTTTGCCTCCTCACATTATTTTTTTTCTTTTTCTTAGGTGACCGCGTTAGCGCAGTCGATAAGAGGCTTGCTTTCAAATCCAGCTGTGACTCGCTGCAGCCACGGTCGGTGTTCGAAACCGGGCGGTTCCCGGGGTTCATCCAGCCTCTAGGAAAAGGGTACCAGAGTTAACACTCTGGGGTAAACGGAGGAACGTCACTGTAGCTACAGAGTTACGTGCGAACGGCGACACAGGCGGATAATTCTTATCAGCTGTCTGTACTGGTGGCAGAGCACTTATGGTTTATAACCGTGTGCTATGATCCTGGTTCACATCTCCCGACTTTACCTTTACCTTTTTTTTACATTATTTTCTGTAATATCAATCCTTTCATATCAACCCCCTTTTCTATATTAACCACCTTGTTCAGCTATGTTTGCTGTGTAATTAATTAAGCATGGGATATCCCCAGAAGGGTGTATGTTTGGTCTTAACTGCTTCCTCACAGCTCGTTATGAAGGGCTGCATTGGTGAGCCAGAATTCTACTCCCTGTCTGACTAATTCTGTGGGCCAAATGTCCACTTTTTTTTTCTACTTTTGTGTGACAGATTCTATTGGATTCTTTAAAATTCCATCTGGAGTTTACTTTGGTGCACTGCAGTTATAAGTGGTAGTGTCTCTGAGACCCTTTTGCTGTAGATATGCTCTAAATTCCACTGTAATCTAAGATCACTACCTTCTGGTTTCTGCCAACTTTGTTGTTGCTTTCTTGCTCTTGTTTACAAAGATGCTCTAAATTTCACTGTAAGTAAAGATCACTGACTTTGGTTTCTGCCAGCGTTGTTGAAGCTTTCTTGCTGTCACCTACAAACTTCATAATGTGCTCCCCAGAATAAACCCAGTAATCTGTTATTTGGGAGTCGTAGCATAGCTGCTAGATGTTCGCCTGCTGACTCGAAGGTTGAGAGTTCAAATCTACATTAAAGCACATTTAAAAAAAAAAAAATTTGACCTTTGGTTTTCAGTCTGAGCCAGCTTAAAGTGAGTACTAGAGAATAAAAATAACCAGTGTGACATAGTCAAGTGCCGTCTGAAAAAATGTATAGCTCTAGCTGGGGATTTTTTTAGTGGTGTGCACCTTCACACAGTACCGTCCATTTGTTTTTTAGGTGTCTGTTTTTCAGCGCCACTGTAATAACACTTTGTGGTAAGTATCAGCAACTTTTTTAAGACACTGTGTCGTGAGTACCAACACCTTTTTTAATAGAAAAAAGCTCTGGATCTAGCGTTATACTTGTTATTTACTTTAGTCTGCTCTTACTTGAACACTTTCACCCCAGAAACCCTTTAAACAATAGATCAGAGAAGGAGTCCTCCACGAAACTTTGTGTTTGTGTCTTTATTTGTTTATTTTTATTTTGATGAAGGCATTTTCTGTTTCAGGACCAACCTCTTCATCTCCCTTGAGATCCCCAAACAGTTTACATCACAACAGACCTTCCTCAGACCCAGCACCTACAACAACTTTAGCAGCAGCATCAACAGTACGTCTGTTGGTGCAGGACTTGCTGAAAGAACAGTTCCAGCAGCACCAGGAGCAGCTGAAGATGGAGATCAGAGCCATGCTGGGCCATCCTAGTTATAATGTATGTCATTTAAACAACATAGGCTACGTTGTAAAAGACCATTTCCATGCCTTTCCATTGGGCATTTAGTGCTAGTGCTTAATAGATCAACCAACACACTCTGGGTGACGGGGTCAGCATCTCATAACAAGGAATAAACATTAAATATAACATTTTCAATGAAGAAATTAAAAGAAGACTAGGACCGAATGAAACAGTCATACAGTTCAACAGTAAAGACCAACAGATGAGAGGGTTTAGCCGTCTGATGAGAATACACCTAGTGTCAGCTGCCACTGACAACCATGCTGAAGAAATAAGAACACAAAGCATGAGGACGCCCATGCAAGGGATGGAACAATGGCATTGAGAATACACTATGAGAAATAAAAAGAGACTTACGAGTGCATTAGACAGAGCACACTGATGATTTTGACATCTATCCCCAACACTTGGCTGAGGTAACAGGGGAAAGTCATTACAAGTTTCTCTATCTTAGTAAAAGAACATTTTTTTTTTTTTTACTATTGGCGTATTGGGCATATGGTATTTAAAAAAAGATAAGGACCTTTTTCCAATCTTCAGGCGTCTTGGGTATATAGGGCTAGACCTAGATTTTATAGACCAGTCTGGCACACTGTAACATCACTTGACAGAACTGTACCTGGCACCCATTTAAGCCTGGGTTGACATGGGAGTGAAGGTCTTTTTTTTTTAAAAGTCAGGACGCGAATGCACGACCTTCCAATCTGCAGGTGTGCTTCTAGCCCTTACACCACAGCGGCCCAGACATGTGGTGCTAGACTTATATATGTTATGGGCTTTATCAGCACTCAGTGTTTGCTGAAGTCACCATCATGCCAGCCACATTTACTTTCCAAGACATTTCCTGGTAACAATTTTAGGTTGGATTCCCTTGTTCCTTTCAGTCCCCCCCATTCAGGCTACTCCCTGAGGGTACACATTCTCAAACTGGAGGGTCAGCTAGCAAGCCAGATACCAGATACCCCATTCAGCCTCCACAAATTTATTGCTGAAGCACCCATATAGCTGGAAGCCACTGTGGTCTAGCTGCTAGACACTCGCCTCGGATCAAAAGGTCATGGGTTCGGTTCCTGGTAGGGCCGGACTTTTTTCAGAAATGACCTTAGCTGCCATGTGGACCCAGCCTTTAGTGGGTACCAGGTACAATCCTGGGAAGTAAAGGCAGCCGACATGATACTGACCACATCACCCACCAAGTGCCAGTGGTCTATAAAATATAAGTTTGAAGTCTGAACAAAGCATCAACATCATGCACACGGGTAGCAACCCATAAGTGCTCCGTTCTTCTAACTCAAGTCTGAGTCCAAAGAAGCTCAGCATAGTGCACAGACTCTGTAGCACCGGCGAGGATCCTGAAATACTTTGGGTAGATTTTTACTCAAAATTTTGCCCAGGCAGCGCTGTTAGGCAACTTGTTTCAATTTCCAACTGCCAGGGGATTTTTCACGTGCGCAACAATGCACATTGGCGTCCGATCTCACTACTCAGATACCAGGTGCAAGTCCACGTGAAAAAAAAAAATTCCAGCCCTTACAGGGGATTGAATCCAGCACTTTTAGCACTCGAGGGCGGTCACCGTGCCTCGAGACCACCCAGACCCTCTAAAATTTAGGTCTAGCCCTATATACCCAATACGCCTGAATGGTGTGGAAAAGGGTTCTTTACTTTTACTTTCCCATACGGCTACACCAGTCTGGAGTCACCTGCAGGCCTTTGCGGATGAGGATGGTGCATTGTATGTTACCCTGGATCCAGCTGAGTGTTCTTACATATGGATGGGATTAACGGGAGACAACCAGTCAGACATGCAGCATTGTATTAGGCTGGATTCAGCTGAGTGTTCTTACATATGGATAGGATTGAGGGGAGACAACCAGTCAGACATGCAGCATTGTTTGTGACTGAAAAAAGGTTAAGGGCCTTGTATTTTTGGAAAGCAATCTCCATTTCCTGCGTGTCTTCTGTGCCAGCAAGTCCAGTTGGTTAAGACTTGTGAGCCTCTTTTATATTCAAGGTTTTTCACAGACCAACACTGAGCAACTTATTCTAATTTATAAATATTAGAATTGCCACCCAAAAAAAAAAAATGCATTGTTTAGTTGCCGTTCTTAAAAAAATAATTATGTCAAGGATTCCTTTAAATATTTTTTCCACAGCCCTCCAAAGTTTCTTTCGCAACGAGGCCTAAAGCTTCTTTGTTTTGTAGACTTTTTTTTTATCAGCCTTTTCTCTCCCCTTTTCCTGTTTTTCTTTGTTTATGCTTCATTTTGTGACAACTCCTGTTTTTGTATTTCCTCTTGAGTCCTTTCACTACATGAGTCCTGTTTCTGATTGGGGCTTAAGATAATTGTGAACCACACATTTACATTATTTCTCAACACACTCAACACATTTTTAATTATAATGTCCTTGAAGTCTTCTGCCAGTGTCTTGAAACATTCATCAATGCCTCTCTGCAGTTTGTCATCAGTTTCAAACCGCTAGGATGCCAGCCACTTCTTGAGGTGCATGAAACAGTCCATGGTAATCACTTGCTGCCAGATCGAGGTTGTGTGGAAAGGGGGGGGGGGGCAAAATACACACTGATAGAATTGTGGATGCTAATGGGACACTGATGTGCAGGACCATACTCTAAATGTCTCTTAGCCTCTCTTGCTCAAGCCTGCTACACCATTATGTGGTGGACCATGTTCTCAGTAATCCAGTGGAAGGTTGGGATTTCAACCCCTATTGGGAAACTGGATGGATCAACAGATGAGGTAAAGACAAAATCCAATTCCATGGACCAGCTACTGACTTGAGTGTATGGTTTCAACACTGAGCTATGAATTTCATGGGAAATGTATGTTTTTGTAAACTGCATGTTCACATAATGGTAAGTGGCTGGTTGCCAGAGAATTGGCCAGGTACCTTATGCACCTGCAGGTTTGTTGTGACTGCTGCTCCCATCAACTATGAATTCCAATGTTATGATAGTCTGTAGGTATTGGCACCTCTGGCAGCTGCTTTATGCATTTGATACAATTGTGAGCTGTTAGATTTTGCTGGGACTGCTGTCTCTTTGATTGAACAGGGGACAAAAATGGGGATTTTGTGTGGTTATCACTGTCACAGGAACAAGGCCATTATGGGGTGAACCGTTTGCGATAAAGTTGGAACCCCGACTGATAGCCTGAATGAACCGTTTCAGCCAGTCTTTTTTGATGACTATCACAACACATGACTTCCTGGTCGTGTCTAGGATTTATCTTCTATTTTGCTACTGAAATGATTGGTCATCTTTATGTGTTCCACAGCTGTCTAGTCTTAGTTTACACTCAATGTGTTCTTAATTAATTGTTTGTTAATTCATCTCTTCTCTTGCATCAAGGTGCCGTGCCTGCAACCACTGTGTCCTTCCTTTGATGATTTTTTTAAACTGTTTAAAAAAAAAAATAGGGAATGATTATGTTCTAAGTGATTATATAAACTGTCTGTAGACACCTGGAGCTGCCTCTCAGGCTTCAAGCTCAGCCAGCCTCAGTCTCCCCAACCAGAGCAACCCAGGGATGTTCCAGGCAGAGTTTATCAGAAATCTCATCAGAGAGGAGTTGGATGATATGAAAGACTTCATACACAAAGAGTTTTGGTGCATACAGGTGGAGATGATTAAACAGATCTTCCAGCTACAGGTTAGAGCCTCATGTTTTGTTGTTATCTGCTTCTCCTTCAGTTCTTCAGCCCCTTATTTGTTCCCCCCTTTTTTATTCTTCTGTTCATCTTTTATTGTGTGTTATTGGCCAGCCCCTGTCCAGTGTCTGTTTGACCTAATCAATATTTGCCATGACAGGAGAAGGGAGGAATCCTGACCTTGTGTTGCAAGGCAAGATTTGTTCCCTTTTTTCTTCTTTTCTCTGGACCCTGTTTTGCCTGGCAGTGTCAGTTTGTGAAGAGGCATCTGCTTTTGTTGTTGTGTGTGTGTATATCTGTGTCTATCTGTGGTTGTGTTTATCTATTCTTGCTGGTTGTCTGTCTACCTGTGATCTTCCTCTGGCTCTTCTGCTTTTTCTGTTTCTTCTGCAGTCACCCTGACAAGAGTGGATGGCATGTTCTGTTGTGACTTACAGGGAGGCGGGAATATCTGCACCTTTCAGACCAACACATTTGATTTCGTTATTTAGATCCCTTTTTTTTTTTTTTGCATGCGTCTGTCAGTAATTGATCAGATTTTACTGCTGTAAGAAGACAAAATCACGTGTTGTCTCTCCGTTAGTTTGATGTTTTGCTTCCTCATATTCCCAGTGAAGTTATTTGCATTGTATCTTTTAGCATTTCTTCTTCTCTAGTCCTTTCTCTATGTTTTGACCTTACGTAGATACTGGTATTTATGGCCTCGGATATTCCATCTATCCATCCTTCTCTTGCACGGTTGACCTCTGGATCTGCTTCCATTATGTCTGAGTGTTAGGGCTTTCTGTGGTGCACTGTCTCCTAGTAGTCTTGTCACATGTCCAAACCATTTTATCTGTTGTCTCTTGATGTAGTTTAGTACTGGTTCCATCCCAGCTTCTTTCCTGATGGTCATTTCTGATCCTGTCTCCTCTGTGCAATGTAGTGTTTTTTGGGGGATGTGGCTTTTAACTCAGCTTTCTTGGTTTAGGCATTGTGAATGCACTTCGTAATGCGGGGGTGGCGGGTTCGATCCCAGCTGTGGACGATTTGTCTTGCGTTGGTTTTGACCGTGGTACTAAGAGCTGACCATTCAGTAGCAGTATCAAACTTCTGAATGTAAACTTGCCTAAAAAACCACAACAGCCAAAAAATGCTGGGGTTGGTTCTGCAGCGTCCTGTAAAGAATACGTGACTCACTATTAACTCTATTAGTGCCAGAGGACAGTTAAAAATCAATGTGTGATGTGTTCCTTGGTACCATAGGACAGTTAAAATAGTATAAAACAATGTGTGATGCATTCCTTTTAACCCAAAGAGTTAATATGGACCATATTTGACACTGATTACCAGAATAAAATACTGTTTATCATTTGTTCCTTTACTTCTGTCAAATGCCTTTGGTTTTTTAAATAGAGGTTACAAAAACATTTTTTCCATGTTTCTATCTCTGCGTCAAATCTTCCATTCTATGTTAAAATGTCACCTAGATTTAAAAGACAGAAAGTTAAGAAAGTGAATTCTACAAATTAAACCCTAAATTTCTCTCTCTGTTTCGATTTAGAAAAGAATGGAAGCTGGATTTCAAGAGTGTATGATCAACCCTGTACTTCTTGATGAGATAGACAGGCTTCGAGAGGAGAATGCTCGGCTGAGAAAAACATTTTAATGATATTGTTTCTAGCAGCACTTCATGTACTGTACATTTGCGTCTGTTATATTTGCATGTGTTTAATTGTTTGAGCATTGGTTCAATGGTGATGAAGGTTGGGGAACAATATAACCGAGACTATTGATATCACAATCTACAACAGATGTTGTTTCAGTTTTTTTTTTAATAATTACTTTTATTGCATAATGGATTTCTTTATCGATTTCCATTTTTCTTCTGTAGATCATACAAAGTGATTCTCATATGGGTTCTGGGTTGCTATTTGGGACTGAGTGAATTGTCCACTGCACCCCCCCCCCCCACGCACGCGCACGCACGCACACACACACACACACACACACGCACGTACGCACGCACGCACGCACACACACACACACGGAGGGAGAGAGAGAGAGAGAGAGAGAGAGAGAGAGAGAGAGAGATAGATAGATAGATAGATAGATAGATAGATAGATAGATAGATAGATAGATAGATAGATAGATAGATAGATAGATAGATTTCAGCAAGCTTGTTTTAAAAGGCAAGTAACGAGGTTTGCTGAAATTGGATATGTTAGGTTAAAAAGGCACAGATTTTGCCGCTTAGCTGTAAACAACAAAACTTGCCAGCTTGTGTTTTTAAAGGTGATTGCAGAAAAAAATACAGTCTTTGAGCAGTTTTGCAGAGGGACATAACCAGAGGTGACTTTTTCTTAGGGCATTATAATGTATTTAGTTTAGAAAACTTGGAGAAAAAAAAAGTATCATTTGGGGTAACTGGTGTAGCAGGTAGACGCTAGCCTGTGGATCCAAAGGTTGTAGATTCTGGTCCTAAAGAAGCCTGACCTTTTTGTTTTTTAAATGACCTTGGCTGCCAGTCATAAATGGATGTCAGGTAAAGCCCTGGGAAGTAAAGGCAAACGGTTTGATATTGACCACAACACCTAGCAAGTGCTGATTATTCTAAAATATACGGCTAGCTCTATATGCCTGTAGGCGGGGAAAAGGGTCCTTTACTGATGTGGAGTATTGTGAAGTGTAGAAGTGCAGTGGCTGGATGTTTGCATGAAATTACCATGTTTGAATCCACATGGGGACACAAATTTATAATTGTCCTTGGGCTTCCGGTCTGACCCTGCCTAAATATAAATAAAATGCCATGAAATATCCTGGAATGCAAAGGCAACTGGAACCTCGCTCTGATCACTGTCTGCCTGAAATAAACTCGGGTCTCTCACCAGCTCTCATGCCTCATGTACTTTCATATTCAAGTAGTCACTGTCTTCTGCCCATCTTCCTGTTGGTCGGCCCCTGCCCCCTCCTTCCTGGTACCATGCCTTCAAAGGAAGCACAACTAACTTTAAAAAGTGTATTAAAACAAATATCACTCTAGCACCATGTATCAAAGGTGTGAAAAATCATGACTTGACCTTCAGTGTGAGATGTGCTGTAAAAGACATTGAAGTCTCCTAACAAACTACAGGAAAACCTCATTAACACAAACTTACTTAAGAAAAACACTTGATTAACATTATATTAATATTTATCCCCAGTTAGACAAATTTTTCAACATAAACTCTTGATTCTTCTATTTCCTAGAATTCATGTTAGAGGTTTTACTGTATAATGCATTAGTGTTTGTACCTAGTGCTCCTGCTGGTTCAAGCTCATGACCAACAGACTGGCATGCTAGCGTTCTAACCAATATATAACTGCACCTCACTAGACAACAGTCATCTTTTTTGAAACACTTATTTCCAGTACAGGATGGACTAGGCACGGCAGAATGTTTAGCATGTTTTAAAATTGACATGACATTACAAATGAAAATACATAATTTATATTATTTATAGATCCATATTTTGTTCAGGCTTTTAAAAGCTGCTGTTGCCTTGTCAATGGGTATCATACTGTTGGGCGGAAAGGGGGGGGGGGGGGGTCCCTTGACTGTCAAAATGTTAACCTGGATAAGTAACTAGAAACGTGTTCATTTTTTTTTTCATTAGAAAAAGCTATTATACAGCTACATAATCTAGATTCAAAGTTTTTTTTTTATATTAGCATTACATTTATGACACCTGCTTAATATCGACAGCTAGTCTTTTCCAGTGAAATGAGAAGTGAAGAAGAGAGACTGACGTTGGATAGGACGCACATTTGAAAAAACTCAAGAACAGTATAACTAGAATGTCTTTATAATGGAACCCACAGAGTATAGAAATAAAGGCAGACCATACAACACATAGAGGAGGGAATTAGAGAGCAAAGTTAAAAAGATGGAGAGAGTATAGGTTGAGCTGTGTGTGATAACAAAGGATAGGGCACTGTGTAAGTCTGGTTGAGGGCCTCTGCTCCATTAGGAGATCTGCAGAAGAGAAAGCATTACGCTAAGTGGTTGTTGGTCGTGATCTTCAGTTTCCGTGATAGACAGGATCATTCTGTAGTGACAGTGGCTACAGTCACAAACATGAATGGCTACTCTCAAGAAGGAAAGCTATGGCAAACTACCCTTTTAAAAACTGTCACTACTGTTTGTTTTACCACCTTTAAAGAGTGTTGTAGATTGGGAGGTTGTGAGCCTGAGGATTTAGGGCCGCCTGGCTAGTGCTGTCGTCACGGACTGCAGGTAAGGATATTTAATTTTACCAGGACAAAAACTCTATCACCTCACCACGAGTCAAACCCGGGTCTCCTGCATGAGAGCTCAACATTATAACCACCCGACCAGCTGCTCCTCACCCTTTTATAAAAGCCTAGAAATCGTTTCTGTTGCTTAGAAGTTAGTGGACGTGTTTAATAATTTCATAACCTTTGAATACCAGGGTTTGAATTCCATGGTGGAGAGTTTTTAAAACAGAAGACCATTTCCATAGCTTTGTGACAGTACTACAAGAATCCCATAGCTTTGTGACAATATTACAAGAATCCCATAGCTTTGTGACAGTATTACAAGAATCCCATAGCTTTGTGACAGTATTACAAGAATCCCATAGCTTTGTGACAGTATTACAAGAATCCCATAGCTTTGTGACAGTATTACAAGAATCCCATAGCTTTGTGACAGTATTACAAGAATTAACTGTGCAAGAGATTGGGGCCTCACCACAAATAGCACCAGCGTCAACAATGGGTCAACTGTAGCACAAGAATTGCACAAAGTTAACAATGAGTTCACTGAAGCACAAGAATTGCACAAAGTCAACAATGGGTTCACTGTAGCACAAGAATTGCACAAAGTCAACAAAGGGTTCACTGTAGCACAAGAATTGCACAAAGTCAACAATGGGTTCACTGTAGCACAAGAAATGCACAAAGTCAACAATGGGTTCACTGTAGCACAAGAATTGCACAAAGTCAACAATGGGTTCATTGTAGCACAAGAATTGCACAAAGTCAACAATGGGTTCACTGTAGCACAAGAAATGCACAAAGTCAACAATGGGTTCACTGTAGCACAAGAATTGCACAAAGTCAACAATGGGTTCACTGTAGCACAAGAATTGCACAAAGTCAACAATGGGTTCACTGTAGCACAAGAATTGCACAAAGTCAACAATGGGTTCACTGTAGCACAAGAAATGCACAAAGTCAACAATGTGTTCACTGTAGCACAAGAATTGCACAAAGTCAACAATGGGTTCACTGTAGCACAAGAATTGCACAAAGTCGACAATGGGTTCACTGTAGCACAAGAATTGCACAAAGTCAACAATGGGTTCACTGTAGCACAAGAATTGTACAAAGTCAACAGTGGGTTCACTGTAGCACAAGAAATGTACAAAGTCAACAACGGGTTCACTGTAGCACAAGAATTGAACAAAGTCAACAGTGGGTTCACTGTAGCACAAGAATTGCACAAAGTCAACATTGGGTTCACTGTAGCACAAGAATTGCACAAAGTTAACAATGGGTTCACTGTAGCACAAGAATTGCACAAAGTCAACAATGGGTTCACTGTAGCACAAGAATTGCACAAAGTTAACAATGGGTTCACTGTAGCACAAGAATTGCACAAAGTCGACAATGGGTTCACTGTAGCACAAGAATTGCACAAAGTCGACAATGGGTTCACTGTAGCACAAGAATTGCACAAAGTCAACAATGGGTTCACTGTAGCACAAGAATTGCACAAAGTCGACAGTGGGTTCACTGTAGCACAAGAATTGCACAAAGTCGACAATGGGTTCACTGTAGCACAAGAATTGCACAAAGTCAACAATGGGTTCACTGTAGCACAAGAATTGCACAAAGTCGACAGTGGGTTCACTGTAGCACAAGAAATGTACAAAGTCAACAACAGGTTCACTGTAGCACAAGAATTGCACAAAGTCAACAGTGGGTTCACTGTAGCACAAGAATTGTACAAAGTCAACAGTGGGTTCACTGTAGCACAAGAATTGCACAAAGTCAACAGTGGGTTCACTGTAGCACAAGAATTGCACAAAGTTAACAATGGGTTCACTGTAGCACAAGAATTGCACAAAGTTAACAATGGGTTCACTGTAGAACAAGAATTGCACAAAGTCAACAGTGGGTTCACTGTAGCACAAGAATTGCACAAAGTCAACAGTGGGTTCACTGTAGCACAAGAAATGCACAAAGTCAACAGTGGGTTCACTGTAGCACAAGAATTTCACAAAGTCAGTAGTGGGTTCACTGTGGCCAACCACCATTGTTTAGAGGTACACCATTTAATTAAAAAAAACACAATTCACTTTTCAGAACTCAGACCTGATCTGATTTACCGAATTGGCATCACATCACACATGCATACCAATAGGTGCTCCGTCTCCCGCAGCAAATGTCTTAAGGTGTAGATGCTAACTGGTCCCATAGCACACAGATTATAAACGCATCTTTCTCTTCCTTTCATGTGTCTATCCCTGTCCGACCCCCACCAAATTCCTCATTCAAAGACTCATCCAAGCCCCTATTTTCTATCACATTCATTCATGTATGGTCTTTAGATTGTCTCCTGTGTCCAGTACCAGTGTTCCTGTAGCTATCACTTTTGTAGC